GCTCCATCTTCACAGGCGCTCAACTGGGGTATAAGCCAGGACTCCACCTAAGACATCTTCTCCAAAGCTTCTCTTACTGAAGAGGGGAAAGATTGAGCAAGAATGAGTACAACCACAGTACTCAGCAAGCCACGCCGGAGATGCATAATTAATGCAAGGGAGTACAAGGGGATAATAATAAAGGGGTTAAGTTTTGCAGTAAACAGCATTTAAAAGTCACTTAGTTGCCCAAAGCCATTTATAAAGACGATCCTAGAGCTACACAGTATTATTAAACAAGGCCGTGAACCCTCACGAACCTGCCTTAACCCAAGGCCTACGATGATTCAGACCGAACTGGCAACCCGACCCTGGGTCCCAGCTCGTCCCAAGCCAACCCAGGCCAACCATTCCACATTTTAGTTGTTGAGCAAATTTTAAGAATTATAACACTGACTTGGGTACATTGCTCGGCTTGCCCATAACCGAGGGCGCGGCTATTCGAATAGATTATACTCTGATCAGAGGTGTACATCTTTACCCACAAGACACATCTTCCTCACGTGTAACCACGTGCCACATACCACCACGGTATACGGACGGAAGACGTGACATAGTTTCCAACCCATCCTAGCCATAGACAAGAGTACCGACCCAATCCCACCTACGGCCGGAACCTCCGGGACAGGCAGGCAGGACTGAGCCCCTAGCAGCAGGGCACCAACCCTCTGCCATGACATCTCGACTACCGGGCCGCAGCTCGTGTAGCCTTCATTTGCCCTGGAGAATGTCCATCGACCCCCGACTTCATCCATCTCCAATCCGTGTACTTTTGTTTATAACCACACTGAGCCACAAACTAAGCCTTACCCACTAGACATGTGGAAGTACGGTAGTGCTTTGCAACAGAGGCCCGAGCTTAATCCTTATAGTGGCCGGGGTGCTACTTCCCACAACTGGCATGCACCCAAACCCCACCGAAAACAGGTTTTAGGGGTTTTGAAAGAGGAAGAGAGGTGTATGTCCAATTCCAACATAAGCCAACCATTCCATAGTGTCCAAATGATATGAGAATTCCCAAAGTCTAAAGTTATAAAACCACCTAATGTTGCCTAATTAATCAGCGAAGCATCTACCTAAATTCATACTAGTGGAACCATAAATAGAGGGTCCACTAGTTGGGGTTTTGTTTATTCTAGGGTGAACAAGGTAATAATATCAATAACAATAATAGTATGGTCATAACAAAGGTAAATAGGCATGGCTAAATAAAACAGTGATAACGCGGGAATTTAAACAAAGCGATAATGCATTAATTTAAATTAAAAATAATTTTGTAAACTGGGATTCAATATGCTCAAGGATGATGTGACTTGCCTTGCTCGCTTTCCCAAACGCCGGCTTCAACTTCCACGAAGAGCGGATCTTCCGAAGCTGCAGCGTCTACACGACCGACGGAAAAGAAAAGGCTTTTACTCTACTAAACCCCACATAACAGCAGAAACAAAGCACAAAAATGGGTTCTTGACTTCTTAAGGAAAAATTAGAGACTTGAACGGTCCAATTCCGAGTTCAAATGGCCAAGATATGGCCATTTGAAGTTTATATGCTCTTTAAATGGATATTTGCGAATTTCTTCATTTAAATTTTAATTAAAAACTCATTTATTGCGTCAGCCGAGAGAGAGGGCGCGCGGACCGGGTCCACGGGAGTGGGGCCCACGCGTCAGCCTCTCGGTCCACGGTGGACCGGGAGCACGCGGCTGGCGGCGGTCGGCGCCGTGGGTCCCACGCGTCAGCCGCACCCGCGGGCGCGGGCGGCTGACGGCCGGGCCTACTTGGCAGCCGCGAGGGCGCGCCCGAAGGCGGCCTCGCCGGCACGGCCGACGGGAGGCGGCACGACCGCGCCCCGATGGTCACCGCCGGCGACCACCGGCGCGGCGGAGCGGCGCCCGAGAGAGCGGAGAGGAGAGGGAAGCGAAAGGGCGGTCTTCGGCTCACCCCGGGTCGACGGCGACGACGGGAACGGCGGCCGAAGCGGAGGAAGGCGGCGGCGCGGTTCGGGACGGCGAGGACGACGGTGCTCCGGCGGTCGGCGAGCGAAGCGGAGGGGTGGCCGAGGTCGACGGGGACGCGGCGAAGCCGAAGGAGGTGACGCCGAGGGGGGAGGAGGTCCGGAGCGACGACGGCGGCGAACCGGAGCTCGGCGGCGACGGCGGAGAGAAGGTGCGACGGTGCGGGCTCGATTCCGACGGGGAGGAGAGGCGGCGAGTGGCGGAAACGGAGGAGGAGAGCACGGGGAACGCTTATATAGCGCCGGGAGAGAGAGAGAACGGCCGGAGAGGGAGGAAACGGGCGCGGAGATCTCGGCCGCCATTGAAGACGCCGGCGAAGATTGCGGGAGCGATTCCAAACGGATCCGAGGGAGAGAGAGAGAGAAAAGAGGGGGAAAAGAGAGAGGGAATCACGGGGAGTGATTCCCCCCACTTTAATGCGCGCGGGGACGGCGGGAGGCGGCGGAATCGGCGGCGGCGGCGGCGCTAGGGCACGGGCGGGCGGCGGGAGCGGCGGGAGGAAGGCGATGACAGGTGGGCCCCACCCGTCAGCGAGGGCGGCGGGCGGGCCCGCCTGTCAGCGGCGCGCGCGCGGGGAGGAGGCCGATGGGCCGCGGGGAGAGGAGAGAGAGGGAGGGAGAGTTGGGCCGAGCCGGCCCAAGAGAGGAAGGGGGGAAAAGAAGACTTTTAGAGATTTTTCTTTTTATAAACCTTTTCAACTTTGTTTATTTCTTCTCAATTATTATTTGTGCTCTGAAAATTCCACTAAAATTTGAGGGCTCCTTTTAGACCAAGGAGAATTTAACAAAAATTCTCCGGGCCACATTTAAATTTTTCTTGTACGTATTTTAGTGTTTACCAATTTCTTTTCGAATTTTAACTAATTCTATTATTCCTTTTAGAGAAGGATTTTTAATTTCGGGATGAATTTATCAGGACGTGACATATATCTTAAGGGGATACCACATGCACCATTTCTCCCTCTCTTTCCTCCAATTTGACTTCTCTTCATTAACAGACGGAGATTTGCATCGCCGCCGTCCGAATGACCTTCTGACGGGACGGCCCATACCTACCTCCACTTCCGCCGGAGGCAGGCACGACGTGGAATCGTGGCTGTCTGCTGACGACATGACCGGTGTCAGACCAGTCACGTCGGTCATTCTTGTCCACCACGTGTCAGCTTAGCAATCTACATGTTCGCCCTTCTTCACACAACATCTTGCCTGTAATGGTTAGGATAAAGCCTGGCATATATCTGACCAGGACTAACGTGCCATCTCTGGGAGGTAACACGCTAGCTCCAGCTGGGGACGAGCGCCTAGAAGCCCTCGTCCTGACGGGATGGGGCGAGGCGTGCGTCAGATCGCCTGTCGCCACCTAACCCGCAATCTGACCGGTCTGTGACTGGTCACAGACCGGATAAACGAGTGCACTGCACTGTGTTACATGCGGCGTGACACGCTCAGCCAAACCGCAATAAATGTGGTTAGGTGAGCCCCACTGTGCTCACCTAACCCATACACGCGGAGCAAAAAACCCACGAGGGGTCGGGGCGCCTCGGCCCTCGGGGCCGAGGCTGGTGCGGCCCGACCCCCTCGGGGGGACTAAGAGGAGGGCGAACACATCACCCTCGGGCCCGACGTCCCTCGAGGGTGCCAGGCCACGTGGGCGATTGTGTCTGCCTCAAACCTCTAGTCATGATACTCCTGATCCCATGTCACCGACAGCCACCCTTTTGCTTTACTTTTATTTCGACGAGTTCGTGCTCTCGGGTTGAGCTGCATCGGTTTCGATCTTCAACAAGAGGTAAAACTTGTCATGACGACTTATGTTCTCAGGATTAATGCTTCCATCTTTATGACACTCTAATCTTGTCTATATAATTCGTCGAGTTATCATATATCTCACATAGTCTTCGATAATATCTTTATCTAACCTATAATCGGCTAACATCTGCTAATGGAAGGCAGCCGATTAGGTTAGATAATGACGTTAACTTAGATTATGTGATATATCTACCACTCTATGAAACTTTCAGCGGCTTGATTGTCTAGATATTGTTCTTCTTTTCATACTTAATGCTGCATCAGTTGAGTTTGATCTATTAAGTCGTGCTTAGAATTGCAATCTCTAGCCTGCTTTCTGGTTGCCGATTAGGGTAGTATCGGAGTTTCAGCCGATCTTATCTGATTTAACTACTTTTATTCTATATTCTTGATTGACACGTTAAATCCACCCTTTATGTTAAGATTTTATTGCATCTAAGTATATTAAGCTTATGTTTAGTATATTCTACTTGCTTTAATATCTTAGTATAGAGTGGTATCGGAGTATTAGCCGATACATGCTAGATCTACCTGATCAGCTATGTTATGAATGTATATAACCCTACTATTAATATATATTTCGATCTAAGTGATTTATACTGTCTCGGCAAGGCAACCGATCTATCCCAATCACTTGATTTAAGTATATACCGATATAAGGATTATATATCATTAATGTGTACAGTTGATCGAGTAGATTTAGTTCTGAATTGCTTGTTGATATTTGCCGATCGATGTACGCATGACATCGGCTTGAAATAAATGATACGTCATCGGCATCTAGCCGATCGGCTATCATTTATAGGATTAATTGCGGTTTCTTTGTTCTATCTCTTGTTGATTGCAAGATCAAATCAACTGGCACGCTCATACATCCGAAGGCGAGCTTTGGACCTGCACTGGAGTTAAGCAGATCTCCCAGGCCTCGTGTTTTCTGTCAACATAATTATATAAGAAATCTTACCAAAATTTTGGCAAGTTAACAAAATTTTGGCAACTATGCTAAAATTTTGGCAATGCCAAATTTTGGTAAGGTTTTTTTTAGCATCAAAGTGAACAGGCCCTGGATAAGGGAATACGTACTTTTATCTTTGCTGATTCATCCACAGCAGTGTCCGTCTTCTTGTACTGTTTACGTATTTGTTTGAATCCGTCTTCGTGACACACAACCTTCCCCTTCACCGTTCGCGAGATGATGGCCTCGCGGTCGCGGCTCCGCCTCGCCGCCGCCGGCGAGAACCCTATCCCACACTCCAAGTCCGGCGGGGAGGGAGGAACGGAGAGGAAGCCGGAGGAGGCGCTGCGGCGGGAGGTGACGGACCTGGGCGGCGGCAGCGAGGTGGTGCACGTGCCGCGGTTCGTGCCCCGGGAGGCGGCGTGGGGGTGGTTCGACTACCTCGACAAGCGCATCCCATGGACGCGCCCCACCATCCGCGTATTCGGCCGCTCCGCCGTCCAGGTACAGAGAGGTCACCGCCGCCGCCCGCGCCTCTCATTGAACCCTTCATTTTAATCTTTGTGGGGCTTCCCTAATCGGTCGCAATTTTTGCTCTGTTGTTCATTTGATAAATTTCTACTAGTGCTAAGATTTCGCTATAGGTTGGTGCATTATCGTTGATTCTTGGAGGAAAAACCATAGTACTATCTTGCTTGGTGAGATTCTGAATATGGTGCTGAGGTTGTGGTACTTCGGTGAGTCTGAAGAATGGTTACTGCAGGCAGTGTTGCTTACGATTTAGCTGTGGCCCTTCGGCCTGGGGCTTACAAATTTACACTAGGCATTTGCGTTTCCCCGGTAAAAGCTGGTTGAATTCATAGGAAATTGGCATAATGATAGTGACTGCAGCTGATCCGGATCCTAAGAAATCATAGTCGGCAGAAATAGCATCGTGCATGTAATTGCAGTATTGGTGAGTTGTTCTCTTTAACGTCTGAGCTGAATTTTAATTTGTGGGCAGAAATAAACTATATAAGTACATATACATTAGTGGGATATAAACAAACTGATAGGTACACCAGTGGCTCTGATAAATATTACTCCCTCCATCCCAAAATATAACAACTTTTGGGTGGATGAGACATATTCTAGTACTATGAATCTGGATAGGGGTTATGTCCAGATCCATGGTACTATGATACGTTCCATCCACCCTAAAATCGTTATATTTTATGACGGAGGGAGTAACTGCTAAGTTTCTGATGTCTTATGTCCCAAACGATGGTAGCTCCTAAGCTCTGTAATACCATTGTCTTTCCAGAAAACCACGGTTACCATTGTCTTCCAATTGGAGACACATTGATAGTGTAACTGTTGTGAAAGATTCTAGCTCAAGTATCCCATTCTCTTACTGTTCTGCAGCCGAGAGATACATGCTATGTCGCGGACGAAGGGCTAACAGATTTGAGATATAGTGGCCATCAGCCTCATGCACATTCTTGGGATGAATTCCCTGTGCTCAAGGATATCCTGAAGGCGGTGAGAGCTTTGCCATGATTATTCTTTGCAATGCTATATATGATTTGCAGTTAATTTCAAGCATTAGTATTCTAAAATAGTATCAACTAGTTTGTATTTGATGATGGGCATCTCAAAGCTCTCATTCTATCTAGTGATTTGCTGATTAATGTATGTTCAATAGGTTCATGAAGCCCTCCCTGGGAGCCATTTTAACAGCTTGCTCCTAAACAGATACAAGACCGGTTCAGATTACGTCTCATGGCATGCTGATGACGAGCCGCTGTATGGACCTACCCCAGAGATAGCATCTGTCACCCTCGGATGCGAACGAGAGTTCTTACTTAGAAAGAAGCCGACGAAATCGCAAGGTAAGCGGTGCACACACTAGGAAAATTTTTGGACTGGCAGCCTCACTATCATTTGTAGATTTTGGAGTTTAGATCACATCAACTCCGAAATCGATCCCTATTATTTCCGTCGAAGAAAAGATTGATCCCTTTTAATCTACCATCCAGCTTCACTTGGATCTGGGGAAGTTGCGCCGAAGCGGCTCAAGGTCAGTGCTCCTCAGCAGCATTCTTTCCTCCTGAAGCATGGGTCGCTGCTTGTGATGAGAGGCTATACCCAACGGGACTGGCAGCACTCGGTCCCGAAACGAGCTAAAGCAAGCTCACCGAGGATCAATCTGACTTTCCGGCGAGTGCTGTAGCATCTTTGTGTACAGCGTCGGAGGCAGCTTCCGGGCAGGTCGGGCGGCTGCCTGGGCTCCATTGCTGGCGCGTACACTAGAGACTATCTATAACATGTATATAAAAATTAATAGATCACAGGAAAACACTATTAGTCACACAGGAGCGATGGTGTTTGCCACTGTTTGCATGGTAGCGATCTTATCTTTGCCTCCCTCGATCTTTTGCGATTGTGCAAACTTATCACGGACATTGTTTTGGGGAGACTTGATGTTTGTGTTCTGCTACTCTGTTAGTGCATCATACATTCTGGCATCATGTTGTACTTGTATCAGCTAGTCCGTACTGTGTGCACCCTAGTATGCGCAGACCTTAGGATTTGGTCAAAATAACAGATTTAGAGAGATTTTTCGTTAGTACTAGTTACTGCCCTGTTTGCGTCTAGTTTTGTGTGAACCCTGTAACAAATTTGACAGTAATACACGGCTAATGCTGTGTTTCTGGAAAATTTTAAAATGTACTGGTTCAAGTTTCAATGATTCATACATCTGAACTCAGTTGAACTTTGTACAGATGGTTACACTGGAGTCAAAACTCTTAGGACAGAATATCATTATTATGCTCAAACTTAACATCATAACACCAAACCTAGGCTGCGTTCGGTAGTAGTAGTACCCAATCCATCTCTCTCTTTTTCACGCGTACGCTTTTCAAACTGCTAAACAGTATGTTTTTTATAAAAAATTTCTATACAAAAGTTACTTTAAAAAATCATATTAATCCATTTTTAAAAAAAAATAGCAAATACTCAATTAATCATGTAATAATAGACTTCATTTTGCGTGCCGGGGAGGACTCCTCCCGAACAGAGCCCTAATATAGGATCTACCGATTTACTCATCTGTCCCAAAATATAAGAAATTTTGTACGGATGGAACACTCTAGATTCGTTACACTAGGAAATATCCCCTCCGTCCAAAACTCCTTATATTTTAGGACGGATGAAGTAAGTGCTAACCAGTTCAGAAAACAGAAATAATGTTCAACACAAGCATATGCTGTGATACAGCATCTGAAGTATCAACTCACATGTCACATTCTACATGCAAAATCTGCTGCTTCAGAATAAGGCACCCCAAAATTGGGATGCCCATTCTAGTTGTACAGTACAATCCAAGAACCATTGTTTATTGTTTACAACATTTCTACATGAGTTTTAACACATAATCACTATTCCTGCAAAATAATGCTAAACGGATATGTTACATGACCTGTGGCCCTCTCAAGGATACGTATACAATGAAATTCCAGGGCACAATGCCATAGCTAATTAAGTTGGAAACAAGTTCTAGCATCTAGTAACATTAGAAGCAAATCCTATTCCACTGCTCTTCTATACTAAACCTGTTGCTATTGCAAAGAACATTTTCTACATCACAACTGTCAATTCCAAGGTCAATTAAATGAGATATCCACATCCCCATCCGCTGCCCGTGAAATCTGCATCCTACGAAGAATAATCAACCGAGAAAGCAAAGCCTATGTTGCTTTAGCTGTGCGTTTTTTCCAGACACTCTGCACATTTAACACAAACAGTAAAAGAACTGTAACAGTAAGAATGAGGAAGACTGGTACAATAGGTTCAGAGCACAGGCGATTTTCTTACAAGAGTCTCGTTGTCAGATTCCTCCTTGCTGTTTAAATTATGGTCATCAGGTTCCTCCTCTTTTGGCTCATCACCTTTGCCAGACACTTTCTCAGCTTTTGCTTTCTTGGCTACTACTACTTCTTTCTCATTGCGTCCATCTGAGATAACAGAACAATTGTGCTCTCAACTTCCTTGCAAGAAACAGCATGCAGATTATGGGTAAACAGTGAACCATAAAATCAACCCCAAATTATCATACCAGATTTTTTATCATTATCAGAATCTGAGTGTGCGAGAGAACTTGATGAATCCGAATCAATATTCGCATCACCGGCAGCATCAACAGAACTTTTACCCCCTATCTTTCTGCGTTTGTTTTTCGGCAGTCCTTTTGGTTTGCCTTTCCTCTTTGGGGGTGAGGGCCTGCAAGATAGGGGTAAGACCAATTGCACCAAGGTTTTCAAGTCTAATCATTTTATATGGGCTTACCTCTTTTTTGACTTCTCTTGTTCAGGCGGCGGAGTTTGCTTGCTGCTGGTAATGCTTTTATCCTGAGCTCTGCAAGTTCAGATTACATATCAAACAAACTGATGTCTATGACACACGTATCAGTATGAAATAATTAGAGGTCTTAAATATGGAGGAGCTAGTTCAGGTGGCATAAGACATCGTTTGTTCCTCTTGGTTACATGAGGATTCTAGAATCATCTTATTCTATGATAAAATGCAAGATGTAGTCAGGAGATAGCACTTTTTGTTTAGTTGTTGAACTAATTACTGTTCAGGATGCCTAATTCCCCAGTGCTGTACAGGACATTTTCCCAGATGCTCCAGTGAAGTTTATTATGCAGTGCACTATATGCAAGAGGAAAATCCAGCTTACCGTCCTTGGTTTCTCCCTGAATGATCCTTTTTTCGGGCCTGCAATAATTTGTAAACAACAATAAACAAAAAAAAAACTATGACCTAATTTAAAGAGAGTTTTTATGACACAATTTACCATGCTATACCTTTACAGGCGGGTCATCACTTGCAACAATTTCCCACTTTTCTTTAGCTAGGTTAAGCACTTCAACATCTCCATCATCATATAGCACCTATGTAGAGAAGCAGTCTTTTAAATATATCTGGTATATGGTGCATTACAACTTAGAATTATATTCCAGTTTGAACTAGAATTATAAATCATACAACTGTTGCATGTTGTTTATGTGCTCATAGTGGTTGACACTACTGTAGCCTGAAGGATAACCTGGTGGCATCGGCTGCTAGTGATGAGAGGACTATAAGTTGGGGGTGAAGAACTTGAGGGAGAGATTTATAGATTGAAATTCATTGCTCAATTCCACTAGACCAGACAAATTCCTGAATGTCTCTTATATATAGGCCAGCACCTAACCATCCAATCTAATAGATAGCCAACTACTCTAAATAAATCATATCTCTAAGGAAACCTCCTCCTCCTCTACACGTGTCTCCCCGGCCATGACCTTATTTGGTCCGACTGTGGACCGTGGCCCTTGGCCTAATGCCCATGACAATAGTGGCTGAGCACCAAGCATTCTACTATCTTCATATAGAATTGACAAAATGAAAAGGTGCAAAGCAATTCATTGCTTTCCATACTTATATTTGTGACAATAAAATGGATCAAATAGATACAACATGTCGATAATTTAATGCACCATTTGAGGGAACATACCGTGTGTCTTCTTTTTGATGAATCAAAAGATTCCACAACACCTTCATAAAATCTGGTAAAGAAAAAAGCAATTAAAATCTAGGCCATCTTCAGAAATTAGATAGCACATGAAGAATAACACAGATAGAGAACTCACTTCTTATCCAACGGCCACCAAACTTTTATTCTCTTTCCAATCAGGTCCTCACTGCCTGTGTCATGTGTTGTGCACTGCAGGCATTAATTGGTTCTTAGTAATGATGTTTGAATGAAATTTTCACTGGAGTTGAACAAAGTGAATACCATTGGCACACATACTTTATTCTAGTGATTTTAATTGAAATATTGCATGAAATTTCTCGACATGTCAGAATTTCTTACAGAACAAAAGAAAACAATAGAGACAACCTTTGCTAGACCAGAAACCAATTTTGGCTTCTGCCTTTTGATCGACCCATTTAAACTTCCCGAATCAACAGTTCGCTTACTACTGCCTGCCTCATCAGACTTCTGCAAGAGTTCAACAAAAATCAATGAATCAGAACCTGATTTTCACCTGTAGATCCAATAGATACAGCCATACAGATGGAAAGAAATTACCTTTGGACTACTACTCAAGATTTCAGCGTGGGGCTTCTTAGCACCCTTTTTCCCTTTGGATACAGGGGTTTTAACACTAGCAGGCGATGTTACCAACTCAGTATCAACCGAGTCATCTCTTTTTTTGGCCCCCTCAACCTTATTTTCAAATGAGTTGATAGTTTCATCTGGGTCAACAGACTGCAGTAGAAGCTCATCACTGTATTTGTTGCCTTTCGTTGAATGTGGTCTACTCTTAGAAACTGATCTCTTGCGTTTTGGTGTTGAAAAATCTACAGGCTTGTCATTACTCTCTTTTGCATCCATCCGCTTTTTCTTTGGTTTGCTCTTTTCTGATTCCCCCAAATTTTCTTGATTGTCCAAGTTTATTTCTCTAACCAGTCCCAAGACATCATCATCTTTTTCCATGTTTATTGAACCAGATTTTGTCTTCTGCTTTCTCCCAGCCTTTTTTGCTCCTTGAGATTTTAAAATTTTCACAATTTTTCCTAGAGGAACTTCATTACCAAATTCATCAGTCTCATCTATAAGCATCTTATCCTTGGGAGATTCAACCTGGACGGAGAGAAAGATCTAACGTCAAAAGCCAGCAGACAATTGATGCTGAGACACAGTATGGACAGAAAAATAAGCATTATGTACCTCAGCAGACTTTGCTGTCATAAGAGCCTCAAAATGGGCCAACACATTCTCGCAACCCGGCCATATCTGCTCATCACTCTCCTACAAAATATCATATAATGTCAAAATAAGAAGCCTAGAAGAGAAAAGGCAAGAAAGTGACACAAACTGTAAAGCAAGTCTTAAATGAATGGGTTGTTTCATGCTTTGTCACAGGCTTAACAAGCATATATGACATACCACAGAATTTTCATTCTGATCCTTCTGAACTGGCGCATAAAGTTGACTGGGCAGTGAAACTGTTTGAGCTTCTGATATATTTATCTGCTCTTGACATAATTTCTTTCCAATAAGGATACCAAGATCACAAATAGCATGCAGTGTCTGCAAACAACATACTTCAAATCTAAGTCATACCAAATAGCAAGCAAGATGTATTACAGTGGATCAGCACAAATTTAAAACAAATGAACTCATTAATTAAAACATTTTCACACCTTGGTCTTGTTAACATCAACCACATCTTGGGAATATTTGATACTTTTAAATATAGATACTATTGTTGTGAAGCTCTCCTTTTTCATGCCTGGTACACTGTGCTGCAAACCCTCTTCCCCCAGGAGGATCAAAAGAAGCAGATGCAATCGCCTGGAAAGAGCTTTTTGATAAGCATATATATGCAAGTACAGCAACAATTTCAGCTACAAGAATTTACGAGGGTATTGCATTCGATTTATTATTCTCAAAATTCAACAATCACAGAACAAACTAGAGTCTGCCAAGAGACCATAATTTAACAGCCATAAGTGTGATTTTGAATTGAGCTAATTGACATTTTTTACTGGAATAAAGTTGGGCTCTAATTGACTTTTCTCATAACAAATCCATCCCAAATGTTATTTGCACCTTTAGGGTTAGCAATCTGATGTTTCACACGCAAACTTAGAATTGAAAGTGGAATTAGTTACAGCAGCATACACTTGTATGTACAGTGTATTTGAGCAGTGATCAAGTGGTACTATGAAGAAAAACGCAACGCCATTACAATGATATCGTTGAAGAAATAAAATCATCTGATCTCTTTCAGAAGATAGCAGATAATTGACCAACGATTTAAAAGTCTCATATTTCCATGAGTTGAGGGCATCAATTAAACAACATTACTAGAGTTGCTTCTACCCCCAAGTGATTATAACCCTGAGTGATTATAAAGCATGATTTAATGATGGACGGAAATTAGTTCTCTATAAGTTACATGGGTAAAAAATTCAATAGACAGATTAAAACAGAGGCACTATGTGAATGAACTGGTCATTATGTTTGGAGCTTAAAGTATTCTTTTCCTCCAAGCATGACCGTGGCTATTCTTTTTAATAGATCAGCAAGGAGAAGGGTCCCAAAGTCAATATGTTGGGAAGAGTCTCATAAGTTGTTGAGTAGCAGGGTAGTGTTGGTGCCAAGGCTTGTGTATTGATGTGGTTTTGCTTGGGTGAGTGTTATGTTGCCCCTTTTCTTCGTTTGTTCTCTTGGATGGGTATAGTGTGACTAATTCTATTTTCCTCTCAAGGATGAATAAACAGAGCCCCAGCCATCTGTTCCCAAAGAAAGAAAAGAACAAGCAAACTAATGGTAAATTGGTAATAAGCATTAGAAAAAAAAACTTTGAGCCATTATTAGATACCAGTAAATTGGACCAAATGCTTCAACATCCTCATGCTCTTCAATGTTAGGACATGATGGATCATGAGAGAGGGCATGAACCAAATAGGAAATCATATATTCTGGATAAGCAGTGAGCACATTTGTTTCCGCTTGGACAGAAAGTTGGCGCATCTTAACTTGCTGGCATATCTGCGCAACCTCAATTATGTTGTGCTTAAACTGAGAAGGGAAAGAAAACAAAAGAATTAAAGAAACATATTAGAATGAGTACAGTGGTGGAAATCAATTAATTTTTCGAGTTTAGAGTATGAACCTCTTCATACTGTGGGGCATGATAATCATCCATAGCTAACAAGAAAGCACAAGCATATTTTGCATCCAAGGCCCTTTCCTTAATATATTGATGTACTTTACTAAGAAATAATTTCCTCACCTGAGGAACATCATCCTGGTAATAAAAGAAACCATAAATCTCCAAAGAAGATACAAGTGAATCATGTGAAAGGAACAGTAAGAGTATGCTAAGCTGTATTATGCACAACGCATACCTGTGAAATCCTGAGAGTCAAATAGAATACATCAACAGGCACTTTGTGGTCCCATTGTCTTGATAAGCGGAGAACAGCTTTTGCTGCCGCCAGCCTCAAATGGGCCTTATCAATAGTGCTGCAAGTAATGGAGTAGTGAGAAATAACCAAACACACAGACAAAGAGAGAGAGAAGAATGGCACATTAAAAAGCATATCTGTTGGTAGTTTGCTACCTTGAAATCATATTTGCAGAAATATCACCATATGTAAGGATATTCTTAAGGATGCCCATTAATTTTTCAATTCCCGGATGTGCTTGAGCATCTTTGCAAGGTTGACAGCTCTTCACCAAAGTTTTAATGCCATAAATCTAGGAAGAAAATACAAAACAACATGTAGAGGTCAATTAACTTTGATGGATGGATTGAAGTGAGACCTATAAAACCATAATTTCACTAACCTTCAATAAACAACTTTGAGTACTATCACTCCATTCAGATTTATGAGCAGAAACGTCGCCCGAATCCTGGTGATGCACTCCGAATTGCAATAAAAATGGAAATAAAATGGAGAAGGAAAGGAGAAATTTAAAGAGCGTAAGTCTTACATCATTGCAGTCAAGAATTTTTTTAGTTATAAAATTTATTATCTCTTCTCCCCTTGTTTCAAAAATTGGCATTGCTATCTGAGCTATACACCCCAAGGATTGTAAGATGGATGGCAAATGCACTTTCTTTTCCTCCAACAAGTCCACAAGCCTCTGCAAGGTTACGAATGTAGAGCATAACATGTTAGAAATCTCAAATATATGATCCAAGAAGAAACAGCTAACAACAAATTTGAACCTTGTAAAGAACAGATAGAGACATCAGGCCATCATCTTTTGTTATAGCAGCCAAAGCATGAACAGAGTATTTTGCCTGCTTCCGTGTTCCTTCCAAACATAGCCGCTCTAGTAGAAGAGTAATGGAACTGAAACAGAAGGCACAGCATCTTAGTTCTATACTCTTATATCCTTATTAAGTAGTGAAAAGAATAATGTCTCATTCATTTCACAAAAGTTGCACCTTGATGAAGCTAGTTGTTCACGAATGTTGCCACCAGCCTTCGACAGAACATGAGCAATACCCTCTTTAAGTAGTTCATTATCCTCCTTCAGGAGCTCAATGATATCTTCTTCAAGTCCAGACAAAAGTGAAGGGAAGAAACTAGATACTGCCTGCAATGTGTAAAACAAGAAGTAATGGGAACTGTCCTGCTGAAGCATGATAAAGCAAATACACACAAGGGATATAGAAGAGATAAACTTGCTCAGGAAGAAAAATATCGGGCATTCATAAACATAAGTAATCTAGTAACGGTTACTTGCTAGCTAGCCTGACAATGGTCTTTCAACAGCAATGCTCCTTGCTAGCTAGCCTAACAATGGAATTACCACACAACCCCACGCAGGCAACTCCTGAACTAGTTGTTGCATGCTTCCTTCATGGCAGGAAAGGATGACCAAAACGTTTCAACAAATCATACCGTTAAAAGATCCATGCATGATGACATAAGTTTTGTATTCCCAGTAGATTTTTGGTCAGAAGCTTCAGAAAGGATCTCTTTGACATATTCCTTGTTCACAAGTAAATATGAGCATCTCATCGACAACGTGCTCACAAAATCATGTAATGCATGTTTTTCACCAAGTTTCGTTAGCAAATCAACCTGCAGATTACAAATAATATTCAAATATAGCAGCATACAAGTAAATCAAATTAGGTAACTGAAAAGCAATAAAAAAAGTCAAGTATACACCCTTTTTTTCATATGAAGAGTTCATATTGGTCAAGAATAATGCAGAAAATACAATAAAATAACTATTATAGAGGCAACTATACCTGACTACATGCAGCACTGGATGAGATAAATGGAACCACAAAGAAGAAAAGCTAGTGTTGCAAACAAGCTAAAAGAATTCTTTTTCTTAACATATACTGCTCTTTTTTCTATTTCATATTGCAAGCCAAACAAAATAATCATCTGTAATCTGTAAATCAAATGGAGTAGCAGGTACCCGAAGAGACCAAGCTTCGTTGAATGTTGTTGAACAATCAAGCAAGCTTGTGAATATATTCCAGATGTTGGCATCTTTTATCTGATGAAGCATGTTCAAGTACTCCTCAGACTTTGTATGATCATTGAACAAACGAGACATGCTCCGGAAACACCCCAGGATCTTTTTTTTCATATCAGGGGTATCTTCCTGCTTGCAAAAGGAACTGATAAGATAGTGATAGAACAGACAGTAATTCTGTAGTGCATTTGACTATTCAAGATTCACCAACCTGGCTTGTCTGTCGAAGGGACATGTACTTCAGCATTTCTTGTTGTAGCCTGAAATTGAAGAAGCAACAATATATCAGAGAGAGAGAGACAATTTATCAAACTAAACGATCTCTAGAAAGTAAAAATAGTGCCAGACCTCTGTTTTTGCAGAAAAATTTGCTCGAGAGCTTTCATCTCAACTTTGTCGAAATGTGTGACAGCAGTTACCCAATGTTTCACTCTTTCCTTTGTTGGATACTCTGGTGGGAACAATGAACCACATAAAATTGATTCAATTGACTCTGGTCTGCATCAAATAAATCAAACAAATCAATGGGCATCACCTAACCACAATATCTTGCCACAGAAAGAAAAGGTGATGTTATGGAATTCTTGTCTGATGTGTTGGTGAAAGAGCAATGTGAAATGCTATTAAGAAAATATCATGGAAGAGTACCATAGGAAGCATGAAACATTATAGATGGAGTAGTACATAGAGCATATCTTAGAGGTAAGCAAAGAACAGCAAGATATCTTGCATGTACAATGGGGATTGAGGAAGCATGACATCTGATCATAAATATTGAGCAGTTTACAGGTTTGTATATAAAGCATAATACAAATCGCCACAAGGATATTAAGTACCCTTACCTAAAATCTTTGTCATAGAGGCATCTTAATATTTTTCCAGGAATCCACTCAAAATCATCAGAATTTACTGAGCTATCAGAACCACTCTGGCAATAGAACTTGTAGATGTCAGCCAATCTCTCCATGGTATAGCACTTCACAGAAACCTGATTTTTTTAAAAAAACAATTATACACCATGCATTCAAGTGAATCGTACAGATTATATTCATCAAACATAAATATTGAAAGATGCAGCAAGGGGCAAACAGAACTAACTGATTTATCACGGACACGCTCCGCAACTTGTTTGATAGTTTCAACTGGGACTGCACCAAGTGAATGGCAAGCTACATCACAAATAGCAGCTACCACTTGCTTTCTCACATTTTCCTCATAATCCAACAATCTGTCACAAAGTGCCTCTGCCAAGGAGACAACCATCAGTACAAGCACAAATGATGGCACATTCAGATTATATTATCAGCTATTCAGCAAATAGCTACTTACTGATAATCTCTTGAGCTTCAGGACGGGAATGGTTTGACATCAGACATTTTTTCAAATGCTCAATTACAGAAACACGAATTTCTACAGCTCGGTCAGTCAATCTCTTCAGGAACTCATCGAAAAGAGATTTAAATGATTCCAAGATAGGGATTCCAGGTAAAGAGAAAAGTTCGCCAAGTATTTCAACTGCTTTAGACCGAGTTTCAACTTCATCTGCCTAGAAAATGCCAATTACAAACTCTAATTAACAAAGACAAACCAAAATTTGGTCACTTAAATTAAGATATATGGATTTTTTTTCCGGAAGATGGAAGATTATTTTCTGTTCCCCAGGCAATAATTATTTCATATTGCACAGTATTGCTTTAAGTATATAAGTAAGGTTCTACATACCAGCAGTTCCCCAGTTATATAAGGTACCACCACTTTAAGAACCTTTGGAGCACACTGGTACAAATCAAATATGACTTCGTGATGGTCAATGCTATTATTGGTAGAAGTACCATCCCCATCCAAGGATGATGTCAGAATCTTCCTTATGTATGGTTCAAGTTTTCCTGCAGAGTGCTCTATAACATGGCGAGCAAGCTTGCGTGCAGGCAAAGAAACACCCTAGAGATTAAAAAAAAAAATTGCACATTAAGACTTATTGAAGGAATAAGTAAAGGAAAAGGACAAAATAATAGAGAAGCAGTTTCTCTAACAAATCACAGAATAGGTCCAAAAAAAGCTTTAAAAATGGAAGGCACTCACAGTTTTTTTCCGGCCTAAAGTTGATAGAAGTACATTGAGAAGGCTTTCCTCTATATCCTCGCTTTCATCTATAATTAGGGCCATTACTGATTGCATTGAATTTACAATATTTGGCTCATGATTGTCACTGCATCAATTCAAAACACAATGAGTAAAATATTTAAGCTATCAACTAGCAGCAATATTGCGTGTATGTCACTTGGTAGCATTAATAGTCTTATAGTCAATAATTTCTGGTTGTGTGCTTCTGATTTAGTACAATAGAATGAAATATTTTACATGTCAAATAACTTGGCTCCATGAAACAGCATACTATAACTACACTCGTGATGGAATGAGGAGAGATGGTTGATGCGGTGTTCTAAGTTGAGGTTGTTAGCATATATGGGCTTCCTAAACTGCAAGAGTTCAAAGAAATCAATGTTTAAAACATATAGAGCAGCACCCCATATATCAAAACTGCATGTTAACCTGCATGAGTGTAAATGTGGGCATCCACTCATTAACTTCTCTTTGGAAATTGAAGGGTCGATAGCTGTATCATGACTTCTCAAAAAATGCCTTAATACTGATCAAATAGGTATGTCATTCAAATGCCAGTAAATATGGTCCTCTAGATTTGAATTTACAAACAAGTCCTTTACGCAGTGCATATATTGAAAATGAGTAAGTACACATCTTAGTCCTCAAACAGAAGTTAAAACAGCACTTCGTGAACTCATACTTGAATTCTATTGAACATTTTTTTAAAAATAATTAGAAACAAGCATGATAAAATAAGTCATGTGCAACAATGAACAAAATGTGGAAACTAGTCCATGTGCGGTGAAGTATATAAAACCAACAACATTACATCCAAATGGATACAGAAGTATTACCTGATAATTTCTAAAAAAGATCGGAACATGTCTGCAATTAGATCATTGCATTCAAGGTCTAACATGACAACACATGCTCGGTATCTCGCAACTGTTTCCAGAATAGCAACTCTCCTGCCAAAGGATTTACCATTAACATCATTGAGTCCACTAAATGTATCCACAATCAGATGAAACATGTCCTGCAAATGAAATTAACAATAATCCTCAAATGTTGAATAAATATAGTAAACCGAGTCAAATATAATTAGTATATTGCTTTCTGGAAGGATGCTTGATGATAAATGATAATAATACCCTTAAGACATCATCACTGTATGGAGCTTCAGGAGCAGTTATTCTTGTAATTTCACAGAAGCATGTTGCCAATAGTACTTTGACATCTTCATCGTGGTGTTTCAAGAATTCATCTCTGGCAACAGCCTTTAGACATGGTTGGATAGTTTCCATCACTGAGGGACCTGGTGACTGCTCTACTCCATGTAGGCATTCTGCAGCTTGCTGCAGTACGATCAGCATTAATAGCATATCCAGAGCTTACTTAAGCAAGGAGGAAGCATTTCAAGCATACAGTTAGTATTGCTACAGATGCAAGCCAGTCAGGCTGTCCAACCAAATGACCATATTAATTCTTTTGTTTGACAAATTAGTATACACAATCAGGCATGTATACAACAAAAATGATATCCTTTAAATGTCAAGTGAACCATCAATGAGTTGGACCAATTAATAGGCAATCAAATATAGTCGGTACTGTACTACTGCTATTACTCCCTGTGACCCGTTCTAGGAACAGTACTACATAGCAGATAACCATATTCTTAAGAATCAACTTTCTTCAGTCATTAATACCAACAAAATTTCAGTGCCCCTTATAAAAAAAAGTGTATTTTTTAGATTTTTAACCAAGCTTAAAGCCTATCTGCTTCAGCTAAACAAACCAAAATGGCTGATTACTAAGGGGGAAGTTTCACATGCAAACTACTTGTTTCTGGAGTACAATAGTTGCAGTCGAATGAATCCAGGTAACAGTGTAACACCTAAGCAAGTTCAAAAGATATGATCCCTCCTAACTATTTCAAATCGGGCGCTAGCTGAAAGGTTCCATACCAAGGCAAAGAGAACAAGGAAAGAACAATGACCTGATTCACTCTAAACAATAGCAGAACCACAGTAAACACAAGAGCAATTCAGATGAACTGGCATTACGGATTCCAAACCTAAAAATAGGTGTGCCTAAACCTACCAAAATGGCCTAGTTAATATATAGGTGTCAATCAAATCACCCAAGTGCATTTCCACAAGTATCATTACTGCCTAAAAATTTCATTTACAGATAAAGTAGCTGATGATCCTTCAATAAAGATAGTGGCTGTCTCTAACTGCAAACTCGATAATCCGATCTACATCACAATATCCAATAGCATAGAGTTATTGGCACCAGCACATACAATACATTGGTCAAAAATTTAAACTAGGGTACAATGTTGGCCAACTGCCATTTTTCCTAGCTGATTAGAACAAAACAGAAGTAATCTAAGAGCATACAGTTAGAAAAGCACTCAATGTTACCCCCACAACAGACAAGTGTCGGGATACAAAGAGTCCACCAGTTTCAGATTTTGGGATCTAAAAAGTAGGATTCGAATGAGAACCTACCAAGTAACTTTATTCTAAGAACATTGCTGAGAAATAATACCATGTGACCATAGAAATCAATGTACTGCTAGCCGACAAAATTGCCATATAAACATTATCATAGGTCTAGAAGTGCTTTTTGCATTTCCGCTTAACTACTGAACACCAATCCACTACAATGTTAAGCTTTAATATACTAAGATCCCAAAACCCTAACGATAAGCGATTAAGCACACAAAACAAGCCAAAAATACACATGGGTCCCACCACTGCACAATTGAGCACCCAAAACCTTAACATAGTTAAAGTTCACTATGTTCTTAGTCCCTATAGAAAATCTAATCAGCCAAAAGAAGCAAAGAAACACCTAGAAGGAAATCACTAATTACAACAGAAACACAGCTTCCGAACCATTAACTCCGAATTACCCAACGCATTTTTTATTTTGGGAAGCCCACAACTATCATTCAAGCTAAACCATCAACTCCAGCAGCAAAACCCTAATTTGAAAAACACCTACCTTCTAAAATCTTGTACCTTAAATTGGCTGAATAAGCAAGATTCATTATATTAACTCAAATGAGCTGGTGTCTGAATAGTTCAGACCATAAAATTTTTTGACAAGATAAACAAATTAAATTTATTCTAAAAAAATTATCTATAAAATTATGAAGACAGAAATGTGGTATCAACAGGACATAAAATACTTATAGATATGAAGGCAAAACTCTAATATGTAATATGTCCTAGGTCTATAAGTTTCCACATGAACATGAAATTAATTTACTTAAAAGTCAGCTCACTGACCAAAAATCAGATTTTTCTCTTCTTCAGTACAAAATGTCAATCCACCACAGAACCAACCTACAAAAGTGAAGAACTTGCAATAGTAAAACCGCAACAGCACGCCACGAAACTAGCGTCTTTCACCACTAAAACCCCATAAACCCTAATCTGGCACGACAAAACTGAACCTCCCTAATCCAGCACGACAAAAAGCTCCAAATCGCAGCATTGCAATTCATCACCCAAAACCTCTAACACGCCAAGCTCCAGCAGAAAATGCCTTGCCTCCCGAGTAGTCCCACCAAACACAGAACGGGAACAATACTACAAGCAAAACGCACCACGTACACCGCCAATTCCAGCAGAAACGCGGCCTCCCAAATCTCACCCAAAAAAACAAACCTTCGTCTCCTAATTACCCGGCACCTGCACATAAACCGTGCCTTGGACACCCTCCCGAGTCCCAAACAGCTAATTTCAAGCTAAAGCAACCAAATTCCATCACCAAAAACCCTAATTCGAACCCAAAACCCCACCACAATCCCCCACCGCCCTAAACCCTAAACCTGCCGAATTCGCCCACAGATCCACCCAAAACCCGCAACCTCACACCCCCCTCCCCTCCTCCACAACGCCAAAGCAAAAGCAACCAACCAACCCAACCCAAGCACCGAACCTCCCAAAGAGCAGTAACAAGTCCTCACCTCGAGCAGCTTGGCGAGGTCGTCGGCCGGGTCCGGCGGCGCCGCCTCCAGCTTCTCCCCGAGCTCCTTCAGCTGCTCCTCCGCTGCCCCCATCCCCGGGCCAGATCGGCCGCCAATTCACGCACCTCCCTCTCTCTCTCTCTCTCTCCCTCTCTCTCTCTCTCTCTCGCTGGGGTTTCTAATCTGAGAGGAGGAGGAGCGCCTTGTCTTTTTGGCTCTCGCTGTTTCGAAAATTGGTGAGGAGGAGAGAGGCGGAGAGCTCGTGAACGGAATGCCCCAGTTCGGGATCGGGTTTGGGTCTCTCTCTCTCTCTCTTCTCTCTCTCCTGCTGCTACCGTTTGGAAGTCATCATGCGTCGGGCACGGCGCCGCGTGTTCCGCGGGTTGTTCTCCGGGGGTTGTGGCTGACGCGTGGGGCCAGGAGGAGGGGCGGGCCCGCGTGTCGGTGGGGGGAACGGTGAGGGGGTTCTCGGGTGGGTTTAGGAGTTTTTTTAGGACAGCGTTTTTTGTTTTTTATTTTGGTTTGGTTTGGGCCTGCGGGGTGGGATACTGGGATGGGAGAGAGATGCGTGCGACGATGGGGCGGTGGATTCGGGGTTAAACTGAAGTGCCGGAGTGCAGTTTGCGTTTAGGGAAATCCGGTGATCTACGGTGTGTGAGTGCTGAGTACAGTACTACTAGTTTTTTCCCTCCACTTTGTATTACGGTGTTCAAAAATAGTTGTTTTTTTTTTGCCAATTATGTCCTTCTTAGAAATGTTAATTCGCGCACGTGTTATTTATCACATGGATTCTAATAAACCTAGGGTTTATCGGGACATGTACGAGCAGCGTCACTGCGGCCCAAGTGGTCGAGCCTCGAAAGGATCGAGGTTCCACAGTGGACGTGGGATAGAGGGGGCAACTAGCGGAAGAGAGAAGTGGGAGTGTGCTTAGAGGGATGGTCTGAGAAGCGCCCGACCGACGATCAATGGTGGTGACGGTGAGGCAGGGGGTGGCGCCCACTAGCCATGGGTTGGGAGAGGGCGGTGGAGTGGGGTCGGCGGTGGGAGAAACAAGTGTCAACCAGTTAGGTTGGGTGCGCGCGGAGGACAGCAGCAAGCAGGTATTACTCTGTCAAAAAAAAAGACAAACTCTAGCTATGAATATGGACACGTATGTGTCTAGATTCGTAATTAGGATTTGACCTTTTTTAACGGAGGAGATAGGCTACAACAATGGTGTGCAAATGCGGGAGATAGGAGTGGCATCTTAGAGGAGATTTAGTGGGAGAGGATAAGGCGGAGAGGGAAATGAGCCGTGGGCCAGCAATGGGGTGGGTCGTGTATGCATATTAGCCTTCCCCTGTCTCATTGGTTAATGTATGAGTTATAAGCCAAGAAAAACAAATGAAGCAAAACGATATTCTATTCTAAAATAATAAAATGTTCTTAGCTGTCCAGAAGCTAAAGCTAAAAACAATAGAAAAACCAACATCAAATCTAAATACCCTCTTGAGCGGTTGTCGGTTTTCACAATAATAGGCTTGAAACAAGGAAAACTTTGGATATTTTTCTGAAAATTAAAAATTATGTTTGAATTTCTTGAATTTGGTGGTATATATGCTAAGCGGTTCCTTAGTTGTTAACTTCCTTGAGATGGCCCATAATTACTATAATCAAATGGTTATGTCGACTTTTGGAACCTTGTTTCACAAAGATTAACATAATTGAATGATTTTTACAAATATGCATGTGCCAGTTGGAGAAACCCGAGACTACTAGTGTGGAAGTGCCTACTGGCATCTTTTTTTAAAAAAAAATTTGAGGTTTCAAGTAAAAAATTTTCTTGGTTCATGTAGAAAGTTAGGATTTTAATTTGAAGTTGTAGAGTTTTGAGTTGAAAGTTAGTGGACCTCCCATAAAACTATCTATATATTTCAATTTAAAGTTTGACTCTAATGTAGAAAGATTCGAGACTTGGGTTGAAAGTTCAAGGCCACAAGTAAAAAAGTTTGAAAATCTGAGTAAGAAGTATGAAATCTAGGTCGAAGTTTATTTCATGAGTTGAAAGTTTCTTTTATTTTTTTTCCAAGGCTATGTGTGGAGACCTCTAAAGAGAAGGGCATGCCATACGGCGCATGGTACCCATATGGGAAAACTTCGAAATACAATAACCACCAACTATTTTGCTTAATATGTGATCGCTCTGATTTATAAATGATTAATCAAATACAAACCAAATGGAGAAGTTGATTAGGAGCTCTTACCCCACATAACTTGCCCAAGTCACATGTTCCAAATTGCAATCCATGCAGAAACCTTTTAAAGCACCACATCACTTGCACTTGTGTTTACTTAGGTAACCAACTATTCGATGTTGATTGTGTATGGAAGTTTTTGTTTTTATAGTATAATGTTTTATGTCTAGAATTTCTGGCACTAGGCAGTTGCCAACCGAATATTATACACCAGTGTTGTGAATATTGTTTAAAAAAGCATATATCATGAAAAGGAGGGTTATCGTACTTGGTTCCTAGTAATATTGAAATTGGTCAGACATCTAGGGTTTTTAAGCTATCAATATAGTAAATTGCACAAGTGATATACGAACTTGTAAGGTTAGTGCAATCTAGTATAAAACTTGCAAAATACTTGTTCATGTGCATGACTTGAGTAGTACATGCAAACAAAGGCAAAAACGTCACACTATGTCTAATCTTGCTGATGTGGATGTTGATTAGGATGCTGCACTCACACGCGACAAGAGCGCTAGGCATGTTATGTTTGGAAGTAGCCGTATATACTGGATTACTTGGTTTCTATTTTGTTTTCCTTTTCTAACCAGCATCCTTCTTTCGTTTATAAACAACGCCTTTCTCAACACAATTAATGTGCCTTTGGGTGGACTAACATGTATAAACCCATGTGGCATCCTAATCAGCATCCAAGTTAGCAAAATTAACGTACTAGGCCTGTAGGCCATTTTGACCTTGGTTCGTAGTAACTACGCAAGTTCGTACACAAGTTAGCTACAAGATTCACACACGTCTCAATTTCATATACTACAAATACAATTTAGTAAGAAAAAAAACTATTGTATCTAGAAAAGTTATGTATTTAAAACACAGCATGGTGTGATTCCTAATTATCGATACATGCATGGAGACTTGTCATATTTAGAATCTTTATCATTACAATAGTAAAATACAGGGACTTCTCAAGATGAACTTATCCACAAAAGACTTCTCTCCATTTATTTATTTCCTACGAAAGAGTTACCAGATTGCTCGTTGCATAATGGCTCATCTGATGCAGAATCCCAGAATGAGGTTGTAAATTAGAACTATTGTCTCTGATTTCAAGTATAGATAATTTTAGAGGTGTGCACAAGAGTTGATGACCTTTATCCTACAGCTATATTATACATTGAAAAATGATGTCTCATTTATATATAGGAGAGATGCCATTTGTGCCGTTTCACACAATCAAATATTTTTCTCTTTATGGCTCCAAAGGAGAAATGCACCACTGCCTTTATATTAGAGATGGCAACAGTTAATTCACCGTCGGGGGTCATCTCCGCGTCCCCGTCACCGTGGTGATAAAATTTCACCGTCCCTGCCCCCGTCAACCACGACGGCGCTATATTTTCAACAGCCCTGATCACCACGCGGTGAACTTTTGCCCCGTGGTTACCCCGTCCCTGGTTAAAGAAACACAAATCAAATCAGCACTTGAGTAGTTAAACACAAATCAGCACTTGAGCAGTTAAACAAAAATCAAATCAGCGCTGGCGGCAAGCTTCGGGCAGCTCCCGGTGGCGCGGCGATGGCTGCAGGCTCCCGGCTGCACGACGACAACTCCCGCACCCGCGTCGACCGCTGCAGGCGCCAGGTAGCGCGACGCTCCTGGCGGCGTGTCGATAGAGGGGGCGGGACAGTAGCGGCGCGCGCGAGAGGAGGCGACGGCGCACAAGGTGGCTGGCGGTGGTGGAGTGGTGGTGGACAGCGGTGCGCCGTGCGCCTGGTGGTGGTGGTTGTGTGGGCGACCGCGTGTGGCTGCAACGGAGAGCTGCTAGAGGAGAGGCGCTCGACTCGATCTGGAGGAGTTTGACCAAAGACTAGGGTTAGCTTTTATATATACCTGTTAATTGGGCATTAGTATTATGGGCCAAAACGTCTAAAAAGTCTAGATTTAGTCATCTATACAATAAAGTCGGGTCACCGCGGGGGGCGGGGACGGTGAATGGTGCACCGTCCCCACCCCCGTCATCCCCAATGGTGCTAACTTTGGAACTATTTTATTCACCATTGTGGATAGATATTAACCATCCCAGTCACCTAAAAGGTGAATTCACCGCGGGAAAACGGTGAACGGGGCCCCATTGCCATCTCTTCTTTATATGTACATGAAAGCTAGGGTTGGAGCATATTGCTCATGCCCAAATCCAAAGATACAAAGCCTATCCAAAATGGCTCCATATTCCTCTGCATTCTCCATCCATCTCTCTAAATTTAGCTCCATATTTTTTTAATGACCCATGACTCTGTTTTCACCTAAATTGGCTAAATACTTGTCTTACTTTTAGTTATTTATGAATACAATATGTTAATTACTCTTAATTATTATTTTTATAAATTAGTTGCTCTTAATGTATATATATCCAACTACTATAAGATAGGGAGTGAGTTTGGATCCCAAGATTTAAAAAGGAAGAGGGGGGGATGGACACAGAGTAGGATAATATAGGGAGTGGGTTAGGGATATGGATAGAGGGGGATTTTTGGGTGTTTCTCTTAAAGAGAAAAGTCTATATTTAGTTATGCAACTATGGCTTTGGTATGTGTCTAAGGCTCTGTTCATTTCTGGAAGTTCCCAACCTCCACCTCCCATTTCCCGCCGCATGCTTTTTAAACTGTTAAACGATGTATTTTTAAAAAATATTCAGGAAAGTTGTTTTAAAAAAATCATATTAATTCATAAGTTTTTTTATCTAATACTTACTTAACAATGCGTTAATTACCGTTTTGTTTTCCGTGCGTGGAGGATTAGTTCCAACCCACCTTGAAGAACATAGCCTAAGGCGGAGTTTGTTTCAGCTTTTAGGCTGAAATTTTGTGATGCTACGTGAAATTTTGACGAGATAAGTCATTAGCACGTGACTAATCGAATCTTAATTATTACAAAATTAAAAATATATATTTATACATAATAATTTTGTTAAATGAAACGTACCGTTTAGCGGTTGGGATGCGTGCTCATAGAGAACCATGAAGTAGCTATTCCAAAACATTGCTTAGAACGCACCCTAAAAAAGACCATGGCT